ACAACTCGCATTTCTGTTTGATTAGAAGAAGCCAAAAAAGTTTGGGAATTCAAGAAATAGAAGACAATTACGAACAGGTGTGGAAAGCGTTATTCGCTTGGGATTGCGAAACGTATTCAGAAAAAAAAACAGTCGAAGAGCAATTCTGTATTGTTGCACTTTGGTCAATTTGGAAAAACTAAGAAAAATGTTGGACAGAATAAAACGTCCAACAAATGACATTCCAAAAGAATATTACGACAAACTAATGACCAACGTTGTTGAAACATTTGTGGGTCTAAACTGCATAGATCAAATGTTGAAATATTTAGGTCAATATGATAGAAAGAGATTAATATTAATTTCTCACAACGGCCGTGGTTTCGACAACTGGATCGTGCTTAAAAATGCAAAAAAAACTAACGCATTGCCCTTTTAAAACACCCAGAGGAATTCTATCTTTTCCTTTATCTAATCCATACACAGATGAAGATTTACCAATCTTCCCGCGAATTTGAGAAAGATTGCCGACGTAGATATCGCTAAATACACGCAAGACAACTGGGAGGAATTGAGACACGAATGGGAACCTTACGCCAAGAGAGACACGCTCTGTTTGGGAGCTTGTTTGATAAAATACAACCATGTCACGAAAGAAGTTGTAAACCAGAATATGTCCAATAATCTAACGGCTCCATCTTATCTTTAAAGGGTTGGTATTATTTATATCATTACGATAAAGAAATGGTGGAAGAAGAATGGTATGAAACTACTAGAATGGTTGCGAAACATACCGAAAACGAAAATATAGAAAAAGTTTATTCGCACACTAATCCTTTTATAAGAAATTTTATCAGACGATCTATTAAAGGAGGAAGAGTTTCTGCAAATAGAAAATTATTTGAAACGAACAAAATGGATGAAATTTGTAACGTATTAAAGGAATATATTTCGCAAAGTGAAACACGAAGTGATAACATAATTGATTTATTCAAAGAATACAGCGCAAGCACAAAAGACAAAACGGAAGTTCATTCGAGACTTAAAAAAATAGAATGTACTAAACTAATGGCATTTGATGCTAACGGTTTATACGCTTCCGCCATGTCTGATTTAGACAGTGAATATCCGAGAGCGGAAAGTGGAAGACCGTTTCTACCAGAAGAAGAAAAACAATATGTAAAACTCTTCAATAAACAAAAATTCAGACCTAGAACAGCTATTTTAACAGTGTGGTTTGACTATCCCAAAAACATGTTCTTCCAACTGATACCAGCTAAAGATAAAATCCATTTCACGAATAAAGAAGGTAAAAAGGAAACTGGTAACAAAATCAGGTTCAGAAATGGTTTCTGTCACGACGTTTTAACATCGGTTGATATTCAAGAAATAGTGAAAGCCGGTGGACGAATTATTAGAATATTAGATGGTATAGTTTACGAAGAAAATTTTAAAACTCCACCCTATAGAGATTATATTTTAATTTTGAGAGATTTAAGAAATAAATATAAACGAGAAGGTAATATCGTGGGTAGTAACTGCATGAAATTATTAGGTAATTCCTTGTATGGTAAATCAATTCAGAAAGATATATTCACAACTAGACATTTATGGAATGAAGCAACTTTACAG